TCCGATTTTGGATATATTCCAGCAGCAGGGATACTCTCTGATTTTGAATATATTCCAAAGGCAGGGGCACTCTCCAATTTTGGTTATATTTTCGCGGCAGGGTCAGTCTCCGATTTTGGTATATTCCCACCGCAGGGACAGTCTCCGATTTTGAGTATAACCCAGTGGGAGGGACCCTCTCTCAGTTTGCTTATATTCTCGCTGCATCGACACCCTACTATTTTGGGTGTATTTCCGTACCAGGGACACTCTCCAATTTTGGATATGATTCCCCAGCAGGTACACTCTCTAATTTTGGGTATATTCCCGCAGCAGTGACAGTCTCCAATTTTGGGTGTATTCTCGCATTAGTGAAACTCTCTGATTAAAGGTATATTCCCACGGAATGAGCAGTCTCCAATTTTGGGTATATTCTCGTGCAGGGACATTCTCCGATTTTGATTATATTCCTGCAGCAGGGGCACTCTACGACATTTGGTATATTCCTGCGGCAGGGAAACACTATGATTTTGGATATATTGCCACGACACGGATACTCTCTCATTTTGTTTATATTTTCTCTGCAGGGACACACTCTTATTTTGGGTATATGCCCATGGCAGGAACAGTCACTAATTTTGAGTATATTCCCGTGGCAGCAACAGTCTCCAATTTTGGATATATTCCTGTGTTGTGGACAGTCCCCAATTTTGGGTATATTCCTTCGGCAGGGACACTCTCCGATTTTGGGTGTAATCCCACGTTAGGGACACACTCCGATTTTGGGTATATTCCCGCGGCAGGGACAGTCTCTGATTTTGGGTATATTCCCTCTGCTGGGACAGTCTCTGATTTTGGTTATATTCCCGCGGCAGGGATGTTCTCCGATTTTGGATATATTCCTGCAGCACGGATACTCTCTGATATTGGATATATTCCCATGGCAGGGGCTCTCTCCGATTTTTGGTATAATCCCGCGGCAGGGACTCTTTACGATTTTCCGTATATTGCCGTGGCAGGGATACTCTCTCATTTTAGTTATATTCTCCCTGCAGGGACACTCTCTTATTTTGTGTATATTTCCACGACAGGGACAGTCTACGATTTTGATTATATTCCCACGTCAGGGCCACTCTCATTTTGGTTATATTCTCGCTGAAGCAATACTCTCCTATTTTGGGTATATTTCCTTGGCAGGGACACTCTCCGATTTTGGATATGTTTCCCTGACAGGGACATTGTCTGATTTTGTGTGTATTCCCACGGTAGTGACACTCTCCGATTTTGGGTATATTCCCGTGGAATGGGCATTCTCCGATTTTGGGTATATTCCCACGGAATGGGCATTCTCCGATTTTGGGTATATTCCTGCAGCCAGGACAGACTCCGATTTTGGGTGCATTCCCGTTGCAGGTTCGCTCTCCGATTTTGGTTATATTCCTGTGGCAGGGGCACTCTCCGATTTTTGATATATTGCCTATGTAGGGACAGACTCTGATTTGGGTATATTCCTGCGGCAGGGGCACTCCCCGATTTTTGGTATGTTGCCGTTGTAGGTACACACTACGATTTTGGGTATATTGCTGTTGTAGATACATACTACAATTTTGCATATATTGCCGCGACAGGGACACTCTCTCATTTTGTTTATATTCTCCCTGCAGGGACATCTCTTATCTTGGGTATATTCCCGTGGCAGGTACGGTCTCCAATTTTGGATATATTCCCGCGTTATGGAAACTCTCCAATTTTATGTATATACCTTCAGCAGAGACACTCTCTGATGTTGGGTATATTTCCATGGCAGGGACAGTCTCCGATGTTGGGTTTACTTCCCTGGCAGAGACACTCTCTGATTTTTGGTATATTCCCTTGGCAGGGACAATCTTCAATTTTGGGTATACTTCCCTGACAGGGACAGTCTCTGATTTTGGTTATACTCCCGCGTAGGGATTCTGTCCGATTTTGAATATATTCCAGCAGCAGGGATAGTCTCTGATTTTGAATATATTCCAAAGGCAGGGAAAC